TTCCATATCGTGAACTTTTCGGCGCATTGCAATTGGCGGACTCATTGGAGGCTGGTAGTGTCCCAGCCAGACTGCTGCAACGTTCGCATGCCTCGCTACCCCGCGTTACCCCGATCAGTGGGCAATCGCAGTAAGAATCAGAGTTTTCCTGACTGTCATTGTACGACCGGCTGCGCGTCAGCTTACGGCAGCTGTAGATAGTTCCTGCAGCAGCTGCCGCCGCCGTTCGGAAAGTCATGAGCTGATTGCGACTGGCCCCAAGCTAGCAAGGACGCCCAGCCGTATCGTGCATCGCAGTCAAATTTGGGTTCCAGACGACCGTTGTTGTGGTGTTCGGGCGAGCAAGAGCTGCCGCGCACACCTGCAGTTTAGCTACCCGGCGCTTCGTACAAGCGTCCGCGAACGCGTAAAGGTTCAGCGGCAGGCTCCACCCTGCATACGCGCGAGGCAGTAAAACCTTCACCAATATCACCAGGTCATGTCTTGGCCCACCAGCAGATCGCGGCCTTAATCCCGCTCAGTCCGAAGTTCGGCTTGCGATCAGGAAAGAGAGGTCTCTTAACAGCGCAAAACTTGCAAAGGGTTGCCCTGGCGATCAAGCCCGAACTGCGGCGTAACGAAGCACCATGCATAACGACTTGTTCAGTATGATGTCAGTATGGGGTTTCGTCGCATGCTCTTCCTAAGCCGAGCTCGATGGGGTCTGATGCCTTCCACGTTCGGGGTTCCCTGTACCGTCGTGGCGGCAGCTCAACATCCGTCAGATGTCGCAGTGCTTGCTCAGTGATGAAAAGTTCTTCGAGCACAGAAATTCCGGCCCTGTACATCCGCTACGAATCGCGCAAAGGTATGTGTTGTATTGGTGTCACCAGAGTGTTGTGTCGCAGATCAATCGGTCGTGTCTGACGGTAATATCCTTGTGTATTGAGGCCGGTGGCAGACGCGCTGTCGTTTCCACGAAGACACTGTGCGCCAGCCACGCGTCAAGAAGCTGGCTCGTTGCAATGCGACTAATCGTCGTCATCGCTTTCTGATCCACTATCCCAGCCTTCATCGTATTCTTCCGCGAGGACTTGTAAGCCGTTGCATAGCGCTTCCTTTTCTTCAATCCCGCCCATTCGCTTGACGATCTGCTCGACTGCTCGGATCTGATCAGCGACAGTGGTACTTGTCGTCAGCCCCGTATGTACAGCCAGCTTAGTGGAGTGACCGGACCCTACGTCCAGCATCGAACGAGGAAAGCTGTCAAGCAAAGGAAATAGTAGCGGTGCAGCAAATCTGAAACGCGTCAGCCTGGATTCCACGTTTTGCGCCCAGTTTGCAAGCGCCGATAACACGATGTGCGCATCCTTGGTGATGAACTGATACATACCTTTGTACTGCTGGTCCACTATCGAACCTGTCATGAGGATCACGTTCGTTATCTTCAGACAGGGCCCACTCTCCACGAGAAGCCTCCGCTCGCCCAAAAACGTGCTCTTTCTTTCCTTTCCTGGTGGCCGTTCTATAATCGCGAGTGAAGGTATCAATGTCGAAATGGCTGAGTCGATCGTCGCCCTCACTTGTCTGCCTTGATGTCATGGAACCAACATTTTCCGCTTTCTCGGCTTCATCGAAAGCCTTATCAGACAGTACCTCCGGATCTGCAGCACTCATCTCGAGCTTCGCTATACGTCGTTTCCCGGTACTGTTGATAGTGTTTTCCAAGTCTTGAAGCGTTCCGCGTCCGCCCAAAGATGCTCTCAAACGTGAGGATATGGTCATGCTTTCCAGACCCATGACTTGTAAAGCTGCAATATGCCAGGGAGAAGTTACATCTAACGATAGATAGCCCGGTAATTTAGCAGGGCTGTTTGACATCGGGACGTACACTGACGACTGTTCTCCAAGTATTTGAAGAGATCGCGCAGAGTTCGCTACTTGTTGTATGCGTCTTTCCTGCTCCATGTTAGTCTTTACTCCTTTCCAGAAACTTGAATAGAACCTACTCGAGGGGTCGATGAGTTGGCACCATGGTCACCTAAGCCCCACGTCCAAATGCTCATCTTGCCGTACTCGTCTCTGAGCCTCTCGAGCCATCCCGAAGCCCAACCGCCCCAGGCGTCATCAACACCCGTGAATATCTGGAGCCCTTGAATGCCATCACATTCTTCGACGAATGGTCGTAGATCTCTGTCAACCAGATCTACTTCCCTTTCAAGCTTCTCGAAAAGCTCCATGCCTACGTCCCAGCTCTCAAAGGGCATGAGCTTGTCGTTGACGTCGAACTCCGACAGCTGGACAATGGACTTTGGATGATAGTAGACACGGCTATAATCTGACCAGTATCTGACAGACGATGTGCTGAGTGGGGGAGGCTGTAGGCCGGCATCGAGGTGCTCTTGATAGGTGGATTGTGGGATAGTCTCTGTTGCACGCTGTACAACAGGCTTCGATGGCCAGACACCGTTCTGATCTAATATGCTTCTGTCGTCTTCGGCCTCGTACAGGGCATTGATCTTTCTCATGCTACCAAAAGCACCTTTGAGATCGTATATGAGCGTTCTTGGCGTGAAAGTATCGGACCCATCTGGAGCAACACCCGGCCTAAACAATATGTCATGATTCACAGGTGACTCTGGCTCGGGCGGGTATGTGAAGTAGGACTCCTGCGATAATATTAGATGAGGCGGCGGGACGCTAAAAATCGCGACTTACTTGTGTGTTCCAGAAGTGAGTGCCCAGGTAGTTGCTCTGCTTGCCGAACTGTAAAGTCACGATTTCGTGCATGGCGACGAATGAGTAGTAGTCTGTTCAAGGGAACGGATACATATACGATGCGTTGCTGTTGATGTACGAGCGAGAGATGAGCTGACTGGCGATGGTGCAGACGGAGATAAACGGTGATTGGTGAGATCAAGCTCTGTCATTTGCCCCGCACGTGCACACGCGATGAGGAAAGAGCGATACCCCACCGCGACGTCCCAATCCACAACCTATTATCATAAGACTCGTTTTCTTTTGGCTATATCATGCCTTGGAGGTGCACACCGTGTTCCAAATTAACATAGCATAAATAGTGTTGTGATGGTATCCTCATGGTATGCTATGGATGTTAGGTGCGATAATGAAAAGGCCATGTCTTGATGAATCTTTCCGTAGAGTCCGTGAGGTCTACGAGGTCTGCAGGCCGATCATTCTAGATGCTATTGAGAGCAAATCGCTCGCTGAGCTGGATGACCATGACCAGGGAGGGCGCAAAGTACTGGCGGTAGCTAAACCCTGGAAGCTCCTGCTAATTACAGAGCGGTTCAATGTTCAGACACAGAACTATCAGAGAACTCATTAGCGGGCATGATGAGGCGGGCAAAAGATCGGGTTTGGGGTGATTTACACATAGTCCATTCGGAGTGTATAGTATGAAGGTACGCCTACCAGAGATCGAAAGGCGCTCTCTCATCAATCACGAATGTATCAGGTAGACCCATGCACACTCTCCACCCATGTTCATCACATCGTTCCCTCTTCGCTCGCCAAATCGTGCTCTCGTTATATAACCGAGCAGGTGGTATCGACGCTCAGCTGGAACTTGGTATCGTGTCACGAGTATGCCTGCGCGCTTGCAAAACGATCGTGTTCTACGGCTGCGAGTGCGGTCTGCGAGATGATCAGTGTCCCGGCTACATTTAGTGCTCGGTCTTCAGAGAAAGCTTGGGCGATAAGCCCTCTACCGTCCACTTGTCTGGCACGTAGCATCCATCAGGCAGTTGCCCGACTGTAGTCCATGCCATGTCCTACGACAAGCCAGCGGCAACTGTGTACTACAGGAGCACTTACAGCGGCGCGTCGCTACTCTAGCATGTGCGGAGACCAAGGCCAAACGGCAGGTCGTCTCCACGGTAGTGCGTACCCTGTGCAGGAGAGCAAGCTCCTCAAGCCTATAGCGACAGTGGCTTTTCTACGCGCCTAGCCGAAGCATCGACCCATAATCCCAGCGACATGGCTTTGTATATGCCCCGAGACCTGTTCTAGGCGGGTTGCGCTGGCCAGCTTGCGCGGAAGTTGTCATTCTGGTCCAGCTGCACTGTCGGCTGCCGAACCGACACAAGGTTCCCGCATGTCATGCCCCATGTATGGTTGTAGACCCGCCATTGCGGTCTTTGTCAACACAGGGTGGATCTTGCGGTGTCCACCCGATATCGCGACGTATCAGAGGCTGTGTCCCGTTTGTGACAGGTCGTTTCGACGTAGGTGTTGAGCGCGACGCGTCTTCGCGCACAGTAGACGCGAGCGAGACGCGCCATCGGTAGTCACAGCGAGTTGTCGTCTTTTCCAAAGGTCCGGCGTCCAATACGAAGGATGGTTCGCCTGTATATCGTACGTCATTCGGCGGTGTGAAGGGGGGTTTGATGTCCTTTGGTGGTGTGCCTGCCCGAAGTGCCTGTCTTTCGCGCTAGCGCCTACTCGTTAGCGCGACAGGTATCCCGCTCCAGGTCGTTTGCATCTCCATCACTTGTCTCATACACGAGCACATTCGGCCTATCACAAGATCGACTTACATCTGGCATCACTGCAATGTCTCAGGATCCCTGGCGGTCAGGCCTGAACGGCTGCCTTGACGCGTCCGATGGCGCCCCCATGTCCCAATTGCCCTCTCTTGGCACTCAGATTGCCCGTCACCAATTGTTTGTAGGTGACTTAATCCAAAGTCGCGGGCACCCGTTGTTGTGATGACGAAACTCAAACTTGCGGTCACCGTCCATTTTAATTGACTCAACCTACTGCTTCTGCATTACTCAATTCGACCCTGGCATGCCTGATCTCTGCCACTCTCGCACTCTGGTCTAGTCACCTCCATTCTCTGGTCCTGACGAATCGCCCACGAGTTCAGCAAGTCTTGAATGAGAATATTACAGATACAAGAGCTGACGTTTTCGACTCATCACTCTCATCGAAATCACTTCCCCCGTATCATGCGCCAGCCGACATATCCCCCTTCGCACCTCGCCACAAACCGTACCATGGTCTCAGACAGCAAGCCGAGTTGCCATTCCAGCGGAACAAACAACAAGGCTAAAACATTCCCTGTACATCATGAGGCCTTGACAAGACTTCGCGAGGTCCTTCCCGATAAGCTTTGGCCGGAGGTGCGCCCAGCACTCTCAGAAGACGTATCATTCGGCAAAGCAGAGCTTCAACACGGGAGGGTACTGGTCGGCCACGTCGACCCAGAAAAGAGCCAGGGACAGGATACTGCGGAAGAACGCGCCTTGTGGGCTCATCTCTGGAAGATTGATTGCAGAGGAGGTGCTGTACTCAGCTTCTATTACAATACCCACGAGGAGCTCCGGATCGGCGAGCCAAAGTTCCGCAAGGTCGAGTTCCAGAAATGGTGTTGCATGATCGCTACAGATCAGTCACCTGTAGGCTCTTCTGGTGGCGAGTGGGAGAAGCGTCTCAAGACGGTCGTGAAGATTGCTCTCCTTGGAGGTGGATACCTGAACCCAAAAGATTATACGTTTCCAGACCTGGCAACAATCATCAGTGTCATCAACAAGCGCAAGCCTACCCACCAAGCCTGTTCTTCTTCAATGCGCAACGCCAACGGCAAGCGACCGTCGGAGGGAGACTACCTAGACAGATTCATCGAACAGATCATGGAACCTGAGTCTGAGGACGACTACTTGGATAGAGACAACGAGGATGGTGCACCCCTGGCAGATTCTAGCAGTCCTGCCTACGCTCCTTCTGCAAAGAAGTCTGGTATGAAACCATCTCATATACAAGAACTACAAGAGGCATTTCCGCCTACAGTCTGGCCACGTGTTGAGAACTGCAGTGAAGACATCGGCAACATTTACCCTGGAAAAGTCTACCTAGGATTTGTGCCATCTGCAAAATCGCCGAGTGGTTCACCAAAGGAGGTGTGGGCGAGGGTCAAAGGCAAAGCGTCCGTCAAAGGAGAAGCGTCCGCCAAAAGGTCTGGACACATTCTGTGCTACTGGAACGACGGACGAAAGGCAAACTTGAGGGATGAAGATCTCGTTAGTAAGATAGATTTCGACAAGCCTTTTCGATATCTTGGAGACCCTGAAGCACGCGACAAGAAGAAAGACATACGCGATCCCTGGCGGGCCTCGGTAGCCATTTGTGTACGGGCAGCGCTCGTCCACGCGGGAATGATTGACGGAGACGAGCTCTCAATCCAGACTAAAGCACCACGAGCCGCCGAGATCATTCGCCAAAACCGGAACAGACTCGACACCAGCACCGCAAGGCCCGCTGACGTAGAAGCCTCGGACGATATTAATGCTCCATCCAGTATTGATGTTATTTACAGTTCTCCAAGCATCCCGATTGCAGACATGAGGCCCAAAAAGCGTCGTATGGCCTCTGATCACGAAGCTGGCAATGATGCTAGAGATTCAGTCTCGTTGGCCACGACACCAGCCCCGAGAGGATTTTCGACCGTAAGCTCGGTAAGTCACTAAACAACTCCTAATACCCTTCTAACTCTCGATCAGATATCGCCGTCGATACAATTTCTCAGGAGAGCTCGTGAGACTGGGCCAGGATCTCTATCTTACGAGCTTGCCGCTTCCAAGAAGAGATGTGCGACTCTCGAAGCCGATGCCGAGCGACAAAAGACAGAGAACGAACAGCTTCAAGAACTATGCAAAGAGAAGACTGTTGGCGCTGTGACTCTGCGAAGTGAGTTAGCCGTCGCCCGCGAGAAGATAGCAAAACTCGAGCGAGACGGCGCGGAGCTACAAGCGGAGATGGGCAGTCTCAGGAAGTTGAGACAAGCGCATGTAAAACATGCTCAGCCCATTCTACTCGAAGTCATGGCTTTCGACATTGGTGATCAAGATGGAACCGATCCAGAAACGGCAAACCGAGACGCTAAGAGGCAGTACGTCGAGACATACGGTATTGAAGTTGAAGGCGGAGCGCTGGGAGATATGGCTTGAGTGCGTCTAAGAGTTCTGACAACTCAGCGATCCTGACGATGCTACTCCTATTTGGTTGTTGCTTGCTATGCGCAAAAGTTGTGGTCCTTGGAAGCGCTTCGGCTGTTAGTCAGGCTCTATGTGCCTATACATGACACAGCCGATTCTGTGTATACAGCCTATACAGCACAGTCAGCAGGTGGTGGAGTTATCTGTATGTAATTTTCCTTTTCAGGTCGCTTTCCAAAAGTGTGCATTTACTACTTCCTCTCTATCCACTATTAGGACAGCATTTGGCTGAGCCCGTTTAGTTTCTCAGGACCGAGCAGGCTGTGTCATTTGTATGGGCACAAAACAGTTTTCGGATTAATTTGCGCAATGCAGTGAATATATTTCTCGTTTGTTATGATCTCCCAGGTACTCCAACGACGCTAGCCGCGTTGGTCACACAGTGCGCCCTCTTTCGTCTGCTACAACTTGTACTGTATGGAGACTACGCTATCAATCTGATCACGCACAAGCACACCGGATATACAGTCGCGACAACACAGAGTCTTGTCTATAGCGCTTTATCTACTCAAGTAGATTGTTACAACCTAGAGACCAGGTAAGTCCCTTCTTCCAAGGTTTTCTCAGACGCAAAGCAACACCCCAATAAGCTGAACTACTCTGTAAAGCACAGAGACAGGCGGAACATCAAGGATGTAACGCGATAGCAGTTACTAACTACTACATAGAGCAACTTACCCGCATGGCGCCCACAATTCAAGAGGTTCGCAGACTAGCGCATCGCGACATACAGTCAGCTCATGGAGGCTAACAGTTATATCAGCCCACTAAAGATGTACGCATCAACAAAGCGGTACTCAAAGACCAGCAAAACAAGCACCCGGCCGTGCTCGCGAAGCTACGCAACGCCATCCCAACCGACTGCTATCCTACAGTAGAAGCCTCACAACAGGACATATACTATGGACGTCCATTCTACCCCGGTAAAGTACTCCTCGGTACAAACGATGGTACTCGCGTGTGGGGCTATCTGCGCCGGATAATGAGTAATCACAAGACAACGATGGAAGTACACTACGAGGACAACCGCGGCGGCGACAATACGGATCATACACCATTTGCGCAGTCTCAGTTCGTACCATGGTGTCGTTTTATCGCAGACGATGCGTGTCCACTTGGTACTGCAGCTTGGGAGGAGCGATTGAAGATAGTGATCAAGATCGTGATGTTGGAGGCTGGCTACTCGGAAGCCACGGTATCTGGTATACCCGCCGACCTACTCACATCGATAAGGAAAAATGTCGAAAAGGGTCGAAACAACGTATCGCAAGCAGCTAGGCCAAGTATACGATCGTCGGCGGGCCTAATAGCAGCTCCTGTTGCATCGGCTTCCGCCCCCAGGCACACTGTTGAGGCCAAGAACAGTGTCGCACTCAATATATCGAAGCCTCAACCGCAGAAGACTACAGCGACACACTACATCAAGGTACTGAAAGATCACATCCCCACCGACCATTGGTTCCAGACGCGTCCCATGGCGGCCCATGAAGAACGAGCAGTCACCTTGTTAGAGCCAGACAGCAAGGAACACTTCGCCCTATTTCCTGGTAAAGTCCTCCTAGGTCATCTCCGTGACGCCGAAAACACACCAGTATGGGCAGCGTTCCGCCATCCCAAACCCTCTGCCAAAATACAGACACTGTCGGGACCGTGGCGCATGTGCTTCTTCGACGACAGCCTGTTCGAGGTCGAACTGCCCGAAACACTTGACGGCGCCATTGAATTCGCGCCTGCATTTCAGCTACTCACTGAGAGTAAAGACAACGTCGGTACACGCAAAATCTGGTTTGCTAGAATCAGCACGTGCGCACGGGTTGCGCTCATCGACGCTGGACTCCAAGACGACGAGGGCTTTCAGACTCGAGTAGACGCACGGCCTAAAGAGCTCGCGGCAGTGATCAAAAAGGCGTGGGCGCGACTACGACGGACACTCCAGGGAGGTGGACGCGAAGAGGCGTTGCCGACGCGATACCGCCAGTACCGTACAGCGGACGCTTCTGCTGTAGGCGCGATAGCACATGGCCAAACACAAGCGCCTACAGACCTCCAGCCCGACAATGGCGAACAGCAAGCAAAGTCGCCCCCGGAAGATCTCATCCAAGATCTCATCGAGATATCCGAAGACGAAGACGACATCATGGAATCGGGCTACCAGCTCCGCGCATCCAGCCCTTGGCCCACTTTCCCGAAGCGCGAGATGTTCACCCCAGCGCCCACCTCTTCCGCCATCAACAAGAAACAAAAGACCGCTCCGTCCAACCGTACCTCTCTGCTCGACTTCATCAACCTAACTACTACCATCGACACCCCGGATACCGCTGCGCTCGAGGAACAGGTCCGCGCATTGACTGAAGCCAAGACATCTCTGGAAAACACTGTCAACGATATGAAAGCACAGATCAGCGACTACAAGACGAAGAATCAAGAGTTGCAGGTGTTCAAGGCCAAGCATGTTGAGCACTGTCAAGCTGTGATGCTCAAGTTGCTGACGCAGAGGAATGTGCGAAATGGAAGTAGTGAGGTCGATGCGGAGAGAGATGCGAAGACGGAGTATACTCAGGTCTATGGTATTGCTATTGTGGAGGATATTGGAGGAGATTGAGAGGGGTACTGTTGACTGTATTGGTGTAAAGGGTTTGGATTGATGTCATGGGAAGGTAATGTTTAGGTAAGAGAGGTGTATTGGGAAGATAACTGTTTGTTCAAAGGGATCTCCGCTCAGAACCCACCAAGACCATCGTCGCTGTCCTCGTAGTCGTAAGACCAGTTATGATCAGCGTCTCTTTCCACGCGTTCTTCTTTACTACCCGTCAACTCCTTCCACTCCTGTTCCTCCACCGGTTTCCCCAGCCCAATAGATAACTGCAAATCCTCGTCCTCACCCTCAAGCGCATGGTAGCTCCACACATAATCCACATCCGAAATACAATGTGGTTCATTCACAGCGCCAATGCGGCATTTTACCTTAAGCAGCTCGACTGCGACGACCGAACCTTCTTCGCCAGGGGAGGCCATGTTGGATGCCGAGTCTATCCGGCGGAAGGGTAGTTGGACTTGTTGCGTTTGCGGGGTTTCCGTAGCCTCGGTTATGGGCTCGTGGGACACGGTCGCACGCTTGTGGCTTGGGGATTTGGAAGTTTGGAGGCCGGTGACGAAGTAGATTGGCTTGTTTTGTTGCGATAGCTTGCGGAGGAAGTCTTGTGTGCTGGTATCGTTGCGTAAGGTGTCGAAGACTAGTGATGCGTCGGTCAGGGTGGAGTGCGATGTAGATGCAGCGTCCTCTTGTTTTGAGCGGGTCGTCCTTTGTATAAACTCTGAAGATACTGAAGGCTTGATGGATTCGGAGGAGGGGTTCAAAGGGTTGGTAGTGATCTGCCCTAGGGCGATGGACTTTGATGGCAGTGGTTCTGGGAGGTGTAGAATCGACATCCTTGCGATAGATCTGTATGAGAATTGCGGCTAAGCTGGGTATCTCGAGTTAATGGAAAACAGTGTAGGTGAGACCAAGATGAGGAGATGCAGGACAGTCAAATACGAGCGCTGGCTAGGACCAGCGGTGAAGTTATATTGTGACGATGTGGACTTGGCCCAGTCTTCAATCGCACCATGACATAACTGCTGATGCTGTTGCGTTAGCATAACGTCTCTGCGCTTGATGCTAGTTCATTGTGACGTCTGTCATTCGTTGTCGCCCTGTTGTCGGTCGTACGGGAAGGGATGATCATTCGGCGCGAGAGTATAGCTCGGCTAACAAAGGGTTATGAGGCCCAGTCTTTGCTCCACCTAGGGTTAAGTTACTCAATTGGCGAACAAAGCCCGCAAACTTGCGATTGCGTTACTAAGAAGCAGCCGGGGTGGTCTGATGGAGATCGGCTGACTTGTTCCTGAGTGCGATCCGACCTCGGGCTCGGAAGGCTAGATTGCATGCATCAGCGGGAGGACGCGGAGCCGCATGCTAAGATTTTCCATAGATCTTCGAAGACAGTTTCGCGAGGAGCTGCATAGCCATTGAAATTTTCGTGAAGAGATACCACACGGAGCCTAATATGCCGTGGGTATCTCGTAGGGTGAGAGAGTCCACATGTTGCGTGCAACCTTCCGGAACCAGGAGAATAACAGCTATCGCACTGGCAAAAGCGCTCGCGTGTCAATATACGACGATAACGGAGGATGGAGATTGAGATTGCTGATAGCGAATGTGTGCTATGGTGAGCCGCTGCCTCGGGATGGTTTGCAAAGGATGAGGGGTGATTCGTCATGTGAAGAGCTGACTAAGGACGAAACGTGGCGTCGTGGCGCGTGGGCGTGGCCTGGCGTGACGCGATCGACATGACACGCTCTGGACGTGACATTTGCCCTTGGTAATATATGCGTCGCGCTTGCCGTCATTGCACCGTTGTCGCCTACAATAGACCGTCGCTCGTCCGTCCTTGATATCGAGATGAAGCTGGGTCGGATGACTGGGATGGTCGGCCATGAATGTCGCTGCTTTCGGCAGCGGGCGGAAAGCTGACACTGCCACACTGCGGGAGGAGCATGTACCGTAAACATGACAACGCCAACTTTCGGGCCACTTTTGCAGCCCAGACACCTACCAATTCCTACGGCTAGCCTGCCATGGCAGAGACATCCATAGCCTCTACCCACCACCAGCGTCGCCAGAGTGCCCTCGCCGACATCCAATTCGCCTCTATCGTCGACGATGACCTCACACCCTCCGAAGACGAGTCGCCGGAGGAAAGCGCGTTCGGGCTCGAAACAGCACAGTCAGCAATTGGAGTCAGCATAGGAAAGCAGCAGACGCGTCTGACTTCGCCGAAAACGCCGGCTGCGGAAAAGGCTGCTGCCCTAGAGGACACGGAAGACGGGGCCTTTTTCGAGGGCTGGCAGGAAGCTACCGATGCCACACCGGAACTGAGAAAGACGACACCGCGTCCAGAACCGAGCAAAGATGTTCAGAGAGCTGACGTGAGGCCGAAACCCACGCACACATCGAGCAATGACGACCGCGAGCGGCAATCCGACCCTCAAACGCGACTTCCTTCACCATGGCGAGCAGGACCGAAGACATTCCACAAGGAGAAGGCCGGCGACCATCGAGCTACACTCCGCGAACACCTACAGATTGGAAGACGGCGGGCATCCTCGAGCGGCTCCATGGGGGACACGATGCGCAAATACATGCCCTTCACCCTGCCCACGTCCATCACCAAATCCTACAAAGACATGCACTTTTCGCTCCCGAGCTTGTCAGCACTTTCGCTCGATACCGAAAAGCCACGCACCTCCGACAGGCGGAGGAGAGATACCTTCGCCAGTAGTGGACCAGCCCGAGACATACCACAGCAGGATGGCGCCAGCCACTCCACACCCAAAGAGTCGAGGAGCGCATCGAGGAGCCTCGTACAGGTACCACAACATCCCAATACCGCTCCGATACCCCAACGAGAGTTCAGCGACGAGAGCACCGATACCCTTCAACCGTCCCCCAAGATATCGAGCGACCGACCGGCGCCTAAGTTACGGCGGTCCAATTCCGAAGGCTCTTTGCTCGTATACCGCACAAGATCTTTCGCGTCTTCGCTCGGCGACGACACGCGCTTCGAGAGTGTCCAAGAGCAGGTCAACAGTAGGCTGAAGGCCCTCAGAGACAGCTGGCAAGACTCGAATTTCAAGTTGCCAAGCCCTTCGTTCCCAAACTTCAACCTGTCGTCCAGCAGCGAGATATTCAGAACCCGCAATGCCAGTATAGCATCTAGACTCCGCGAAACCGATAATGTCCGCGCAAACGAGCCTGCACCGGCAGCACGTCGCGATTCGACAAGGAAGAAGCGCCTGCCGTCAAAGGGTGGGGACAGCGACTTTGAGCCGCATCCATACTTCACACAGGCTCTGCAAGAGCTTGAAGGGGACTTGGTCGTGCTGGGAGGCTATCGAGGTTCCATCTTGCGCTCAGCAGAACCGCCCCATCGACAGCTCTGGGTGCCCATAAAAGTCGGGTTGAACCTACGCAAGGTAGACTTGGAGGTACCTTTGGACCCAGATGCGGATGAGCGCATGGAGGAGAGCATTATACCCAGCGGCATGCTGACCCATATCGGCCCCGTCGATATAGCCAAGCGCCTGTTCAAGCGTCTGAATGCATGCGATAATGTCAAGGATGGTAAACTCAGGGTCCACAACTACGGTTACGACTGGCGGCTCTCTCCGCACTTCCTCAGTCGACGGATGATACAATTCTTAGAGTCGCTGCCTTGTAATCAGCCAGGCGTCCCTCCAGAGAAGCGCGGTGCCGTTATCGTCGCACACTCATTAGGCGGCTTGATCACACGGCATGCTATCAACCAGCGTCCCGATCTAGTAGCCGGTGTTGTATATGCCGGTGTGCCTCAACGCTGCGTGAATATCCTCGGTCCATTCCGCAACGGCGACGATGTGCTCTTCTCCTCACGCGTGCTAACAGCACAAGTAAACTTTAGCATCCGAACATCATACGCTCTCCTACCCCTCGACGGAAAGTGCTTCATCAACAAGCGCACGAAAGAAGAGTACCCTGTAGACTTCTTCGACGTAAATACCTGGAAAGAACACCGCCTCTCACCATGTATAGCAGCGCCTCTGCCCCGCCCCGAACAACCCAAAGACAGCAACTTCAGCGTTAGTGGCCTGATGAACGCCGTCTCCTCATCACTCCCAACCTTCTCCACTCGCAAAAGCAGCACCGCAAAAGACGCAGCCGACGTAGCTCGTAACGCCGCGAACAATGTCACAGAAGGAAGCGCCGAACAAGCAGGCATGGGACCACAGATGGGCCACGAACACAACATCGAGACCTCTAAAGAGCCGAACCCCGCGACCGATGTCACGATCCCTTACGACAAAGCCGTGGAGTATCTCGCGCGAACCCTCGCTGAAGTCAAAGCCTTTAAACAAGAACTCGACCACCGCCCTGAACACACGACGTCGAACGCATACCCACCCATCGCACTCATCTACGGCAAGTCCACACCGACGGTATATGGCGCAAAGGTAGAGAGTAAAGAAGCCATCAAACGCGCAGACGTGTACGATGAGCTTGCATTTGCGAGCGGTGACGGTGTGGTGCTCGCTCGTGCGGCTATGGTGCCCACTGGGTATAGTGTAGTTCGCGGCGGTGTCGTCTCGAGCGACCGCGGTCACGTCACGCTTCTGGGTGATTTGGAGGCTGTGGGGCGGTGTCTTTGTGCTGTTATCCATGCGAGGAGGAATGGCGTTGGGATGGGGGCTGGGGCGCGGTGAGATTATAGAGGCGCCTACACATTTCTACCTAGAGTCAATGAGATTGGATCAAGTTCATGGAAAGGGTGCTTTGTTTCTTTTTATATGTGGATTTGTACTTGTGCTTCGATGTGTTATCTCTGTGCTATGCAAAGGCAATAGTTTTCTTGGGCAAAGTGTATGACCCTCACGCCAGAATCCTCAACAGCCCTGACAAAACCACACACGTGTCGACCGTCACCCACGAGCTCATCGCAGCAAACAACGCAATCACTCTGGTATCCGCCAAGCCATCTGCCCTTCTCCAACAGACGCGTTTCTCGTATATCTCCATCGGCCCTTCTCTCGGTGCTACACCCTCGTATACAGCCTTGGGACGGTTCGCTGGGCGTTGCGATCTGCGAGTGAACGGTGGAGCGGAGCGGAAGGCGGCTACAGGCGATACAACGTGACGCGACGGACGGTACGGGCGGGCCATCGTGTGCGGCGCGTTGGGTTCGAGTTCGTAACGAAGTCATGTTTTGGTAGTGGGTGTCCGGGTGGGCACGCACGTACCTAACTGGCTTTGTTGCGCCCTTGATGTAACATCGTCTCGTGGTCTTTGCGCTGGGGTCTTGGGTAGGATTTGGGATGGAAAGCTGTGGATGGTATTGAGACTGTGGAGGGTTTGCGGTGGTTTTGCTTTTTCAACGGCTGCTGGGCATCTTGGGAGGCAGGAAAGAGCGTTCAAAAGCTCTGAATGGGGAAGAGATGAAAAGGCATCGCAAACAGATGTGTACTCCAGGAATCCGATTTCTCTCGATGATGCTGACGTCGATCGCGCTAGTATTGCCGTGTTCCAGGACCAAGCTGATGAACTCCAAATCAACTCAAGAAACACCTGGTGGTAATTCCAATTCTATGACCTTCGACTGAAGGGTTCACCCATGTTGTGGTTCCGCAGTAAATCGCTCAGTTCCAAGGCCGGTACCAGTCTGGGCTCATGCACTTAAGAAACAAGCAAAGTTGATTGATGCAAGTTGCCAGAGTGCTGCAATTGACCATGAGTCGCAGAGGATTGCTGCATGCGAATCGGGTCGAGCAGTACATGTGTGATTAGTAAAGGGGGATGTTGATCACGTTGCTCAGCTCGATCGACATATGCCCACTGAGCCACCCGCATCGTCATTTAGCACCTCGTGCGAGACAATAGACATCTCTGTAATCGTATTGCGTCTTCCCAACTACGGCATGGACGACTCGATGTTTGAGAGCACTCCATCGTGACGAGGGTCTGCAGTCTGGTACATCAGCCATGTCATGTAGCACTAACAGACCCCTATAGGCTGCGCTTAGAGTGTCAAGTCAAAATCTGGCTTGGAAACGCGCATGCCGCGTGACGGAATGCGAACAGAAAGATCAGCCGGTGGGAACAGCTCCCGTGGTGCGTACAGCCAGATCCATGGATTGTTGCGTGCGAAGAGGTCCTTTCCGTTTGAGGCTAGTGTGCTTGGCATTGCCCGTTAGGCCATCTGGTACCGTACCCCAGCCTTCCGCTAATCTCACTCGGAGCCTCCGTCTTCCCCATCATCGCGATCACGTCGCCAATCGCTCTATCTACCCCATCTGGATCAATTAGCAGCAACAGCTCCTACTGAGATCGATTTCAACCAACTCAGGTTCGCTGCAGCGAAGCGAGATTTCTGCCTCAAATTCGTCACGAAGTCGCGATCCTTCATTTAAGCGCGCGTATGCAGCTCTGACCATCACGTCACATCACCAACCAATCCTGGACTGTCACGCGATGATGTGCAGCGGGGATAAAACTGTCTTGTCGGGGATGCGGTAACAGACAGTGCACTCTTTAGCATTCCGCACTGGTATCAATGCGGGGGTAAGGAGCTCGTGGCTTCGGTTGCGTCTGACGGCTTGGGGCCAGCCTACAAAACTTCGCTTTACCTTGTATGTTCAAGACGAGTCATGATCAGATGCTGACAAGCCATCCATGTAGTCATACGGCACATCCGAATTCTTGGGAATCTTCTCAGATGCGCAGGTGTATACACGCTAGAGCACGGAGTTATTCCGAAAGGACTCTGTACCCCTCCGATATCACAGCACCACGCGTCATTTCTCGCTGGTACCGATACACTGCTAGTTTCCTGTGCTCAGCTACTGCTCGATCGCCCAAGAAAAGTCACTCCTTAACAAGTTCATCTCGCTACTACTGCTCATCGCCTATTCGATGGACAACCAGCCCTGACAACAATCTGTCCTGTCGTCGATTGACATCTAGGCTTAATTCGTGTGGGAAGAGCCTCTCAGGCGCACAAATTCAGCACGCCTCGCAGGGGATGGCTCAACATGGCCCTACCACAACGGAATCCTTCTGTCGATGCATTCCCCTCGAATAATTCCCGTTAGCGTCAACGGAGATATCGTCTTATCGTTCTTGCTGAAAGCGGAAGGTGGAGAGTGCAGTCAAACGCTCGCAACAAATCTAGAGCAGCCCACACACGTGATGGGCCGGTTCATGCGTGGCGTCGACTGGCCAGTGACGAAGCTACCGCTTCTCGCGAGTATCAATACACGAGCCGCGCTCCTGTTGAATGCCGTCAGATCAAACACTTGTGAGTGGCGGAGGACGCATGATCGTCTCGAATAATCGACCACTCAAGCTGGTCAACTCACCGTCACGTTCAGGGTAGGGGCTTTCGGCTGACGATTCAGGAAGCTAACCTTAGTCTACCTGCGGCACGCGCTTCCCCCGCGGCTGCTCAGACCAATTCTTTGCATTCGCTCGAAATTGCCATCTTGGTACTGGGTCCTTCGATACGACACTTGGGTCCGGATGTCATCCAAGCCCAAAGACCCACTGCTCCCGCTTTTACAGTCTTTGTAGTTTGGTCCGCTACCCAAACTCTAGGCCACAAGTTGACAAGTTGTGGGATCCATGTACACAATCTAGCTGAACCTGGCTGGCTCATTTCGCACACAACGTACGTCGATAACCTCGACTCCCTGTCGTGGCCCAAGGAAAAGGCGGCCAATACGCCGCTCAGTTGGGCTTCCGCGACTGAAGATGAGATCAAGCTGGGGTTGTAAAGTGTCGATCAGCTGCTGACTCGAAACGATCTCCGCTACGATGATGGAGCCCCCAAACTGTGCCGCATTGCAGCTCGTATCGCATCGTCACCTTATGCAAGATTGCAGTGATTCCTTTCAGGTCAGAACTACGGTGGAGACATGTATCTCACAAACTGCGTCTCATGGGACTGCCAGGTTGTACCTCATAACGATCCAAAATATAGGATCATTCATGTTGACTCTACAGGTTTCCAACTCGAACTGGCCAAACATTCTAACAAGAGCGCTTATGGCACAGCGGCTACTGCTTAATTCAGTACAGACAGTTACATCTCCACACCTTTTGGGATTCAACATATTTCAGGTCATGACCAGGATTTAATCATAGTAGGGCGCGTTGGTGAGATGCCAACTAGCTCGAGAGATGTAGAGGACCAGACACTCCCACGTTGACCACTACCGCCAGCTATCGTGGTGAGAATTGGTTTCTAACACCATCTAGAATAGGTGGAGTTGCAAATAGTATGTGTGGCTGTAGCATACGCCTCTGAAACAAGTTCGCCGCAGCATCAAAGAGCTTGGGTTGAGCACGGCCTTCAATGCAGGAAGCCCAGGTTCGTCTACCCCAATTGGTAAGCGACGGTAGGTCCCTGCAGCATCAACCAGTAACCAGCTGTCAAACCCAACACTTCTATCTTCGTCACAGGCGTGCGTCTTCTGCATTCCTAAGGACTCACCACGGTTAGCTGTATACAACATCCGCACTCTGGGCGCTCGAACCATCTTTGCCACACGTCAAAGCACGTATCTGACGCTGCCCCACGCTAAATAACGGTTGAGCAAAAGCCACCAGGCGAGCGCACCACACCCACATCGAGACCCTGATCAGATGGATCTTCGTGGCCAACTGAAAGCTTAGCCCCTGCTGCTTGCTGTACACATTTGAAAGGGTGCCTACCAACCACCATCTTAGAAGCGTGCGTCTGTCGGAGGGGGCCTTGATCAAGATACTGGAATTCGATGAGGAGCAGCTATCAAGAAAAACATGAGGCACTTTGCGACTAGGATACATGCCTGCAAAACTTCGGTCGTCTAACAAAGCCCGAAGCGTTCAAGACTCAAGTGCTCGACTACGCCGTACACTAGCTCGTCTACCCATGCTAGCTCGAGCCGTTGTTCGTTCGCGGTCAGGCTGTGCACGCACGCAGCGGCATGCTGGCATCGAGTACGCCAAGTCGCTCAGGTACCAACCTGCTGGGTCGTCGTTTTCACCGATCGTTAGCATTCCTTTCTCTGCTGAACCCTATGAACCACTCCTCGGAGCCTGTGGCATGGTTGAGCGCTCACTATTGCATCTGATCTATATTATATTGGCGAGGTCCTGCCAGTGTAACAATCAACCTCAGGTCTCACATCCACCAAGCACTCTGCCATACTCTTGTCTTTATACGACTCTCACATTGTTCATTGCATATTCACATCCTACCTACACAGTATGTCTATGTACTCGACACCTGTGAGCATCACTGACTGAGCATTAGTCTTACCTCGCCATTATGGAGCAACGACGTGTCCAGTCTTTCACTTCGAGCCCTTACCAATACGTGGTGGACTATCCTGGATCGCAGGATCTCTCCCGATGTGATTCACATGAGCCTATTCCCATGAAGCATGGTAACGGATCGTACGATGAACGGATGTCTTTCCACCACCTTGCTCGCGAGACATCAACTACCCGATCATTGAGCGCTCCGATAGACGCCTTCGATCCATGGCTACTCGAGGGACCAGGCTGTGGCAGTCCAATGTCCACAAGTTCTTCGATAAGCCATAACGAGAGCCTTCCCACGCCACCTTACACCGGCATGCCAATGTACGATAACGTCGAAAGCCCGGCATTCCATCATGTTCGCTCTCCAGTCAACCACGAAGCCTGGGCAGCAGAACCAGAACATGTCTGGAGACCGAGTTACCCTGATCTTCCCACATGGGGCTCGCAACAGTTTTCGTTGCCTTACCACGGTGGTCCAGCCTGCGAGCAGATGTCACTGCAACCGGTTCAGCAATACGTCCCTCACTCTGGCCCCTCAGTAGCCCCGGCATACATTCCCTACCACGCGCCAGCTCCCTTTACTACTGCCAGGGTTGCTAACCCAGGGCCCTTGAAGAAGGAACTGCCTAGTGACGCTGGGCACAGTGATAAGGAAAGCGACTCAGAATCCGAAGACTCTGAGAGCGATGATGAAGCCTCGTTGCACGGTTCGTCATACTCGTCCTCCCGGCGGTCTGGAGCGAATGCCAACGTCATGAAGCTCGGAAAATGGGGCGAGAATCCTGCTTCGTATCCCCTTCACCACACGCTTGATGTAAGGCACTGGCAATGCCCTCTAGACGACAAGGATCATCCTGGAGTCCCATGCCCTAAAAGATTCCAACGACCGGAACACCTTCGACGCCACGTCAGGACTGTCCATGGCAATGACAGGTGCCATTTCTGCAAAGTGTGTCCCAAGACCTTCTCTAGGGGCGACAACCTTCGCGATCACTACTGGACGCACGTGAACCGTGGAGGCAGAGCAGGGAAGAACAACAAGATGAGCATTCCCGAGTTGAAGGCAATTCTCGGTCCCAAGGAGCGGCCGCTCATCAGACGTCTCAAGATGAAACTGAACCTGCTGAAGGAAAGGAACATGAGAGCGAAGCTTTGATTGAAAGCGGTGTGCTTCATGTTATTGAAGATGATGTTTACATGACTTCTTCTTGTTATTTTACTTATTTTTTGAGGGTACCCGGCGCTGGGGAGGCAAGTCATCATCGTGCTTCGGCATGCTTCTGTACCATTTCTTCTAATTCTCCACTGTTCATAGATCTCTTTAGCGCGCATAGCTGTATGAATGACCTGAAAACCTTAATGATCATCTTGCTGTCTCATCGAAATCTTGACTTTCTTCTGTATGACACCTGAAAGGCCAAAAACGGCGTTTTGGACAAGCCCACCTTGCGACCAGTTGAACAACGCCTCATGAAGCGCTTCGCTTAACATTACTCGTTATCCGGCCCCTAACACCGAGGATGGATTTCAGCGTCTTTCGTTGCGCCTAGCGAGTCGTCCCAGCATGGCAATCATCGACAACTGCGACAGCTTGATCCGACTACACGCTAATGCATCAGTCTGAACTGATTCCTCGATCGAACATGCATGGAAGGAATAAACATCGGTCAGAAGATCACACACATCCAATCACCTTTTTTCGCAGAAAAAGATTGGGGGCACCCTCACCGATTACACACAGCCCCGAGGACAGGGAGAGGCGATATGCAGGTGCTTGTCAGCGGAAAACGCCCGGTTCGTTAGATTCCGTGGAGAGGAGAGACGCGCTGTTTTAGCTAGCTCTCTGACTTGCCGGATAGATGAGCACACTGCATGGCAGCAGGGTTGTACCCTGTGAGGGATGCCTAAGTAAGCTGTCAATGCTCTGGCGAAAGCAGGAGTGAACTTTCAGGAAGACAAGTTCCCGCGCACTGACCACGATCGAAGGATGATCTTTGACTGAAGGTGTCCTGTACGCTGTATGTGGACGTTAGTGTCGTACGATTTACGATTCCAGATGCGATCTTACGATGGAGGAATACCAATCCAGATTGCAGGTCCTTCACCGATACTTGTCTCCCCGCATCTGGCAAAGCGAGATTGTAATCGCTGAAAGTCTGCATCTCCCCAACCTCAACCTCGAGAATGCGTTGAGATTGGGAATGCATGCTCACCGGAACAACATCATTGGATCGACCAGCATAATCGCGGTGAAAGAAAAGACACTGGTCTGCCATTGCGGTTCGTGCGCCGCTCGAATCGACGTATGGGAAGGCATATCAGTTTTCCGCGCGCCGCAGCGCTTAGAGGAGCCAACGAGAGTGCGGCACAGCAAGCCACAACCCGGCGCAGCACCCCTTCTCAGATTAGAATCTGCAATTCACCCGCATTAACCGCCTAGTCTGAGGGCTCACTCATGCACGTAGAGTAGTCTCGTACGAAAGTAGGGCTTCGCACAGTTGTTGTAGGAGTAGGATGCATTTGTAGTAGAGAATTACAGGGTATCCATTCCAACGGCGACGTCACTGGCGCTATAGTCGCATGTCTATACGTGGAGCTCGTGGTAGAAATCTTGGAGAAATATGGGCTGCGAAGACTGTGAGAACGCACGTAGATAGGATCAGTCTGGCGAGAGAGGGGGCGAGAGCGCCTCTGGGCCACACCATGATACACCGCAGGAGGAACAAAGGACGGCGTCTGATTCTGGTCACCCACGAAACGCTTTGTCTAGACAAATTTGCTGACATGAAAACACTAAAATGACATATTATAAACGCGAAAGATCAAGTAAGAACGATGACACCCAACACGTCCTTCACACCCCCAAAAAAGAACCCAACAACAAGCACATCCTGATGTAGAACGACTTTGCCGTAGACGTACAGTTTCTCTTGAAAACATGTCCGAAAGCGTCGAAAATATGGGCATCTCACCTATATCGCCTTCCCAATCCGAACTGACCGCGCTTCTGCGCTACATGCTGGCAGATGACCCACTACCCCACACTCGAGACTGGCCTTACAGGTTACAACAGGGAGTTTTAGTGATAGGCTGTTCATCGTTCGACACAGCAACCGCTTCACCGTTCGGCCCGGGGCTAGATAGGACACTGCCGACCCTTTGCGTTGAGGCAGGTACCGACCGTAGCTTCAACTCATCATTGCCCTTGCATACGATGGCTTCAATCAGTATGCGGGCTTTCTGGATGAGGTTTGAACACCATCAGAATGATGGTTGGGCACGCGCACATCTCCAATCTTCCACTGAGCCCCAGACATGCGCTGAGCGTGATGCAGCAAGGCCCAAGCTCTTGCATGATTCGAATCGAGATATGATCGAATCGAACGCATCACACCAATCTTGACTGGCTGCGTAAGTCTGTGCCCCGCCCAATTCCAAGGCCTCTAGGTAGAAGGCAGCATCTGCACATGAAGCCTCTGTACATGGGTCGACTTGCTACACACCACTAGCTTATGCTGTATTGGCGATCAGTACCTCGCGCGACATGCGGTGTAGATTTCGTGTCGCACCTTCATTGAGCCATGATGACTTTTTCGATTGCATCCTGCAACATCATCATCCAACTCCCCGCTAGCGATAGCTTCCGCTGTGATTGCCGGGATTGCCGCGCACCCGTTTCGTCACGCCTTCGTAGACGGCGTCTACCCCTCAACGAGGTAACGATCCTACGCTCTTCCTTCGCCTCTAGCGTGTAGTACGGATCGTCTGATCAACATCTCCTCGCTTGCAGGAAAGCGGTCGATAGACGCATCACTGACGAAAGGACAAAGCCCTTGCGTAGACGTTTGCAAAGACGTTCCATGCTACGCATGCAGGCGGGCAGTCGACCGTTCAGCGGCCCGAGCAGAGTTGGTGGAGGAATGCCGGTAGTGGCTGCCAGTCGTAGTGGTCGATTCAGCCGTGTGGTCTTCCAGACCTTCCAGCTTATCAACGCTAGGAAGTGGACTGTGCGACTCCAAGTTTCCAGCCTTCTAGAACAATGGTGTCTGCTAAGCTGTGAATTGGAGCTTAACAATAGAACCAACAGTTACTCTCGAGGTGCGATGACGTTCACTGTCCCTTGTTGCTTCAATGGATGGCTCATGTGTGTATGGGCGGGCGTGCATGCGACACCGCCTGCTTCGCCTCCACACCTCCTCGTCCTCAATCGTAAGGTCCAACACACCACCTCAGCTTGCAGCACGCCAACAGTGCTATTATTACCACCGCATGACAACTAATGTGATACAATACGTTGAGATGATGTTGATGGAGGTGGAAATGACCATGAGCTGGAAGACGTTGCTTGGATACTGAAGGACGTTCGCGTGCCAACGGGTATTCCAGTCGGTGTGGTCTGTTATGTGCCGCTTTCCGGCATGAGAGTTGTACTGTGATCGAATGATAGATTCGGGCGCATCGATGTTGCGGTGATTCGCTGCGTTCACGATTCGGGGCAGACCCATGTTGTCCTTCGCTCAGCCGCGATAGCACTTTGGCTACGCAATATAGGGAACTTGACGCTACGAAAATTCAGAAGATACACTGTGCAAAGTTGATCTCCCAAGTGCCAGGCCTGAAACCTCGAGGCAGCTTCCAGGAATGACACAGCTCTCACCCGAGCCATTCAGCTGATGACGAACTCTGTATCCGTGTAGCTTGATCTGTCTTGGAGGAATTCCCCCTCCATTATTCCTTCCACGTAAGCAGCATCGACGATGATATACGTCCCATCTTCCTGTGGTCTCAGAACCAGTGGTAGGAGACATCCAAAGAGGATACACACTACATCACCGCTTTGAACTTCCCTATCCGCAGATGCAACATAACCGCTTGTCGTGGTGAAGAGACATCCTTTCCAGAGTCGGTATGTACTAAAAATTGCTACCATTTGGCGATATAGCGACTTCGCAATGCTGGATTCTGGATCACGAGCCAAACCACTCTTCTCCTGAGCAAGCATATGACGCCAGGTATCGAGCTCTGAATAGCGCTGGAGGACTGTCCATTCGTCCACGGGAGCTTCAGGTATCGGATCCGTGATGCGCCGCTTCAGGTCGTTCATGCTCCGTCCTGCAGCAACACGCCAAACACTTCCTCTGTCTACCTTCGCGTTGACCTCGTCTGGCGAGAAGCGCTTACTCCATGCCCTTCGAGCAATGTAAGTAAAGTCTTGTACTGTTTGTAAAAGCCACGGCACGAAGGCATTGAGGTGTTGACGGAGGAATTCGTCATAGCACCAACTTTTGTCTTTATTCTTGGCCAGTTCGCTGTAGCAATCGGTGAAAATCATCTTGGTTTCTGCGACCTGTCCAACGATGGCGCCAGTGATCTTGATAGTACTCGCCTGCTCGTCATACTGAACACCAGGAAAACTACGTCCAGTGCTTGCGCCTTCCTGCACTAGGTCGTAGCGGCGAAATAGAAAGTCCTTGAGGTAGGTGGACAGCAGGCGTGTACTCTCCGTGAAATCGTGGGCCTAAGAAGGCTTAGAGATAAAGGGTAAAGTTTCACCGCGCGCAGCAAAATCCTTGTATTTACTAATTATTACTTATTAGCTTAATTTACGCACTAGTAGAGCTTAGGCTACCTACCTAGAAGAAGTAGTCTTTTAGATAATTACAACTATTATAATAACTACTACTTATAACTATAGTCTTAGCTAAGTTAATTAAATTTGCGCGTAATAAGACTCTTTACTATTTATTCTATTTTTTTTATATTTACTACTCTACCTTTATAGCTTAAAACTAGTCTTATATTAACTACACTAGCTTTATAAGTTATAAAGTTTTATCTAAATAAGCTATATCTATACTAACTTTCTACTCTAAAGCCTACTCTTTAATTTTCTACTTTTCTACCTACACTACTATAATTTAGTAGTTAATAGGCTAGTAATAATCTATAAGTTCTTTCTTACCTTTTCTCTAGTCTTTTATTTTAAAGCTTATTAATTCTAATTATATTTTTATTCTCTACTTTAGAGTTTAGTATAATATCTCTACTCTTAGCTATAATCTCTAAATTTATAAGCTTTTTTTCTTACTTTCTTAGTAGCTACCTTAAGTAGTGTAGAGTTAGCTTCTAATTTTTAGTTTATATACTATATTCTAC